GAACGACATTGTTATCATTTGAGAGACAAGAAATTACTTGCTGGAGAAAATGAAACTTTTAATTGTATTTATTATTATTATTTCTCCTTTGTTAAACACATGGGCGGTGGGTATAATAGGCTAGGGGAGGCTAAACCTATCATAGAATCATAGAATCATAGAATATCAGGGTTGGAAGGGACCTCAGGAGGTCATCTAGTCCAACCCCCTGCTCGAAAGCAGGACCCATCCCCAATTAAATCATCCCAGCCAAGGCTTTGTCAAGCCTGACCTTAAAAACTTCTAAGGAAGGAGATTCCACCACCTCCCTAGGTAGTGCATTCCAGTGTTTCACCACCCTCCTAGTGAAAAAGTTTTTCCTAATATCCAACCTAAACCTCCCCCACTGCAACTTGAGACCATTACTCCTTGTCCTGTCCTCTTCCACCACTGAGAATAGTCTAGAACCATCCTCTCTGGAACTACCTCTCAGGTAGTTGAAAGCAGCTATCAAATCCCCTCTCATTCTTCTCTTCTGCAGACTAAACAATCCCAGTTCCCTCAGCCTCTCCTCATAAGTCATGTGTTCCAGACCCCTCATCATTTTTGTTGCCCTTCGCTGGACTCTCTCCAATTTATCCATATCCTTCTTGTAGTGTGGGGCCCAAAACTGGACACAGTACTCCAGATGAGGCCTCACCAATGTCGAATAGAGGGGGACGATCACGTCCCTCGATCTGCTCGCTATGCCCCTACATATACATCCCAAAATGCCATTGGCCTTCTTGGCAACAAGGGCACACTGCTGACTCATATCCAGCTTCTCGTCCACTGTCACCCCTAGGTCCTTTTCTGCAGAACTGCTGCTTAGCCATTTGGTCCCTAGTCTGTAGCTGTGCATTGGGTTCTTCCGTCCTAAGTGCAGGACCCTGCACTTATCCTTATTGAACCTCATCAGATTTCTTTTGGCCCAATCCTCCAATTTGTCTAGGTCCCTCTGTATCCTATCCCTGCCCTCCAGCATATGTACCACTCCTCCCAGTTTAGTATCATCCGCAAATTTGCTGAGAGTGCAATCCACACCATCCTCCAGATCATTGATGAAGATATTGAACAAAACCGGCCCCAGGACCGACCCCTGGGGCACTCCACTTGACACCGGCTGCCAACTAGACATGGAGCCATTGATCACTACCCGTTGAGCCCGAAACTCTAGCTAACTTTCTACCCACCTTATAGTGCATTCATCCAGCCCATACTTCTTTAACTTGCTGACAAGAATACTGTGGGAGACCGTGTCAGAAGCTTTGCTAAAGTCAAGATACAATACATCCACTGCTTTCCCTTCATCCACAGAACCAGTAATCTCATCATAGAAGGCGATTAGATTAGTCAGGCATGACCTTCCCTTGGTGAATCCATGCTGACTGTTCCTGATCACTTTCCTCTCCTCTAAGTGCTTCAGGATTGATTCTTTGAGGACCTGCTCCATGATTTTTCCAGGGACTGAAGTGAGGCTGACTGGCCTGTAGTTCCCAGGATCCTCCTTCTTCCCTTTTTTAAAGATTGGCACTACATTAGCCTTTTTCCAGTCATCCGGGACTTCCCCCGTTCGCCACGAGTTTTCAAAGATAATGGCCAATGGCTCTGCAATCACAGCCGCCAGTTCCTTTAGCACTCTCAGATGCAACTTGTCCGGCCCCATGGACTTGTGCATGTCCAGCTTTTCTAAATAGTCCCTAAACACCTCTTTCTCCACAGAGGGCTGGCCATCTCTTCCCCATTTTGTGATGCCCAGCGCAGCAGTCTGGGAGCTGACCTTGTTCGTGAAGACAGAGGCAAAAAAAGCATTGAGTACATTAGCTTTTTCCACATCCTCTGTCACTGGGTTGCCTCCCTCATTAATTAAGGGGCCCACACTTTCCTTGGCTTTCTTCTTGTTGCCAACATACCTGAAGAAACCCTTCTTGTTACTCTTAACATCTCTCGCTAGCTGCAGCTCCAGGTGCGATTTGGCCCTCCTAATTTCATTCCTACATGCCCGAGCAATATTTTTATACTCTTCCCTGGTCATATGTCCAACCTTCCACTTCTTGTAAGCTTCTTTTTTATGCTTAAGATCCACTAGGATTTCACCGTTAAGCCAAGCTGGTCGCCTGCCATATTTACTATTCTTTCGACACATCGGGATGGTTTGTCCCTGTAACCTGAACAGGGATTCCTTGAAATACAGCCAGCTCTCCTGGACTCCTTTCCCCTTCATGTTAGTCCCCCAGGGGATCCTACCCATCTGTTCCCTGAGGGAGTCGAAGTCTGCTTTCCTGAAGTCCAGGGTCCGTATCCTGCTGCTTACCTTTCTTCCCTGTGTCAGGATCCTGAACTCAACCAACTCATGGTCACTGCCTCCCAGATTCCTATCCACTTTTGCTTCCCCCACTAATTCTTCCCGGTTTGTGAGCAGCAGGTCAAGAAAAGCCTCCCATAACCCAGGCTGTGGCCCCACCCTCAGTCCCTCCTCCCCTGAAGCCGGCGGGGGCTCAGCTCAGGCCGGTGTCCTGGAGCTTGGGACTCAGTCAGCAGCCTTGGGTGGCTCGGGCTGGTGCTTGGGCTGGCTGGTGGCCCGGGAGACAGGCCAGTTCTCAGACCGGCTGGCAGCCCAGGGGTTGGGGCAGCTGGCATAGCTGGAGTGGGCTGGCTGGCGGCCTGGGGTCAGGGAGGCTGGCACGGCTGAGGTGGGCCAGCCAGAGCCCCAGGGCTTGGGGTGGGTAGGGCGGGTGGGCTGAGGTGGGCCAGCTGGTGCAGGCTGGCTGGTGGCCCCGGGACAGCTGGAGTGGGTGTGCAGTTCGGTTGGGGCTCCTCCAGCTGCGGGGAGGAGGGAGGCTTAGGGCCTGTGACCTGTCCATGACTTATACTTTAATGCCCTGACTAAATCTTGGGGGAGGGGGTCACTGCTGGGGAGATTCCTTTGGGATGGGGTTTGCTGCTTGGGGGGGCCGCAGCACCAGCTGCCAAGGGCTGCGAACAGTGGCTGTTCCCGCCACCCCTGGGACCACTGCTCAGGCAGTTCCCAGGGCCAGCCACACCCGCTGCTGCTTGGGTGGTCCCTGGGGCCAGCGGCACTGGCCACTTCTCGGGCAGCTGGCCCCTGGGCCACTCCAGCAGCAGCCGGTGTGTCTGGCTGCGGGGCTGCCCAAGAAGCTGGCTGCAGAACTGCTCCAGCAATAACCGGTAGGGCTGTCCCTAGGGCCATATGAGCAGGTGGCCCTGGGGTCAGCTACACTGGCCGCTGTAGAAGTCACGGAGGTCATGGAAAGTCACAGAATCCATGACTTTTGCAACCTCCGTGAAAGACACGGGTCCTGTGTATAAGTTATACTAGCAAAAGCACTTTTTTGCCCATATAAGCTGTGTCTACATTAGGGCTGGGTACCAGTATAGTGTTACCAGAAAACCTTTTCTATTGAAGACCTGGCCATAGACTCCAAACTTGCAAACACTCACACGTGAATAACTTTACACATGTGAGTAGCCCCTTTGACTTCAATGAAACTACACAAATGCTGAAAATTAAATTTGTTCGTGTTTGCAGGATGAGGGCCTAAATATAAAGGGCAAAGAGACAACAAGACACACTCAGAGACTAGGGGAAGTGATCCATTGTGACATTTTTCAAATCTCAATTAATCCTTTTCTTCTACAGTGTTAGAACGTACATGGCAATTGAGCTGATTTTTAAAAGGGTCTTCAGAGGAGATCCTGGCAATTATAGGTTGGTGAGTCTAATTTCAGTACCCAGCACATTGATAGAAACTACAGTAAAGAACAGAATGATCAGACACATAGATAACGTGTTATGTTGGGGAAGAGTCAACATGGCTTTTGTAAAGAGAAGTGATGCCTCACCCATTTATTAGGATGTTCTGAGAGTGTCAACAAGCATGTGGAATAAGGGTGATTCAGTCAATATAGTGTACTTGGCTTTTCAGAAAGCCTTTGACAAGGACCTTCACCAAATGTACAAAAGTAAGTAGCAGTTCCATCCCTCGCCAAACTCCATTCCCACCTCCACTGATCTTTCCTACCCCCCCGTTCCATCCCTTGCTAAACACCATTCCTGTATGCCACAGAATCTTCCCATCCCCCATTCCATCCCTCGCCAAATGCCATTCCTGCCTCCATGGATCTTTCCTACCCCCCCACCCCATTCCATCCCTTGCCAAACACCATTCCTGTCTGCCATGGAACCTTCCCATCCCCCATTCCACCCCTCACCAAATGCCATTCCCGCCTCCATGGATCCTTCCTTCCCCCCCCATTCCATCTCCCACCCAATGCCATTCCTGCCTCCACGGATCCTTCCTACCGCCCTGTTCCATCCCCCACCAAACACCATTCCTGTCTGCCACGGAACCTTCCCCCTCCCATGGAATCTTCTCATCCCCCCTCCCCAGGTCCATGGAACCTTCCCCCCTCCCATGGAACCTTCCCATCCCCCCTCCTCAGGTCCATGGAACCTTCCCCCCTCCCATGGAACCTTCCCATCCCCCCTCCTCAGGTCCATGGAACCTTCCCCCCTCCCATGGAACCTTCCCATCCCCCCTCCTCAGGTCCATGGAACCTTCCCCCCCTCCCATGGAACCTTCCCATCCCCCCTCCCCAGGTCCATGGAACCTTCCCCCGTTCCCAGCCCAATGGAACCGTCCCCGCCCCAGGCCCTCCCCTTCGCATAAAATCCCCACCCCCAGGCCATGGAACCTTCCCCCTCCCTTCCCCCGTTCCCAGGCCCAATGGAACCTTCCCCGCCCCAGGCCCTCCCCTTCGCATAAAATCCCCCCCTCCCCCGGCCCATGGAACCTTCCCATGCTCCCTTCCTTGAGCTTTCCCAACCCCCCCTCGCGGCTGCGCGGAGCCCTCCGGCTTCACGTGCCCCGCGCTCACTCCGGCGCCGCCCTGGGCCCGGCCCAGTCCCTGCGGCAGGCCCCGCCCCCGCCCCCCTCCGCCCCGCCCCCTTCCCGAGTCTGGGCAGGCCGCTCCCGCCGCCATTTTGGAGCGAGCGAGCGAGCGAGCCTGTGGTGGCCGAGCCCTCAGCCCCGGCGCTCGGTGACCGCGCAGCCCGGCCGGGGAGCGAGTCGCTGCCAGGCCCGGGGACGTGCCCCATGTCCGCGGCCTTGCCGGCCTCTGCAGCCCAGGGAGCAGCGGGAGCGGAGCCTCGGGCCCGCCGCCGCCGCCGGGGAAGGCCGGGCCCGGAGCAGGTGAGACCCGCGGCTGGTGCTGCCTCCGGCTCGCTGCGGCCGAGCCCCTGCGGGCGGCTCCGCGAGCCTGCCCCGGAGCGGCCTGAGCGCCCCGACGTGCCCGCCCGTGGCGCCCCGGCGGTGCCTGCCCCCCCTGAGCCCTTGGAGCTGTCTGCCCCCCCGAGCCCCCCAGGTGTCTTCCCCCCGGGATGTGCCTCCCCTCGTGAGCCTCCCCCGGGCTGTCTGAGCCCCCCCAGTCGAGGTGCCGATGCCCCTTGGATGTCCCGGCCTTTCTGAGCCCCCCCCATCCACGGTGTCTGTGTCCCCCCCCCCCGGAGTCTGAGCCATCATGAGCCCTCCCCCACAGTGGCTGTCCCCCTCCCCCCCCAGCTTCTAATGAGAGTCTTGAGCCCCCGCTCCCCCAGGTGTCTGAGTCCGGCCCACGGTGTCTGCCCCTTTTGGATGTGCCTGCCGCCCCGATCTCCCGCGCCCCAGATGTGTCTGAGCCCCCCTCGGATAATCCTGTGCCTCTGGATGTGCCTGCCCTCCCCCTGACATCCCTGAGCCCCTCCCCCTGGGAGCGTCAGCCCCACTGCTTGCCTCCCTGTGACACCCTGAGCTCCGGAGGTGTCTGCTCGCCTGCCCCCCTGCCTGCCCCACCGTGACACTCCTAGGCGCCCCTCAATGTGTATGCCCCCTGAGTCCCCCCGAATGTCTATCCCGCAGCCTACCTTCCTGCAACACCTGTGACCCCTCCTCCCCCAAATTCTCCCGAGTTATGTCAGTCTCCTGACCTACCCCCCTGGGACACACCTGGCCCACCTGGATATGTTACCTCCCCCATGACCCCTCCTATCCCCTGGATCTGTCAGCCCGCTGCTCCCCCCCCCCCCGCCCCCACACCTTCTCAGCGCAGTGTCTGTCTCCCACTTGCAACACCACTGACTCTTCCTGGATGTGTCAGGCCCCCGAACTGCCCCCCGTGACACTCTGAGCCCTAGATGTGTCTGCTTGCCAGGTCCCCAGAATCTGACAGTATTTTTTCTTTCATCCCTAGCTGAAAGGCACCTACTTTCCCTGAAGGGGTTCCAGTCTGTGGATGCTGGGGAGGCCTAGTGTTTTGAAAGACATCTCTTTCTGCCTCCCCCTTCTCTAGTCCTGAGGATCCTGATCCCCAGCCTCAGCCCCAACAATATGCCTCCTCCTGTGCATTCTTTCTGCCACACCATCCTGCTTTTTCCTGGGGCTTTGTAGCTGTATTCGCTGCTCCTTTGATCCTTCACAAGTTTTGCTTATCTCAAGTTCACAGCCTAGATTTCATCTTTCAGAAGAACTTCTCAAGGCAAAGTATCCCCCCCCCTGTATTTGAGGGTGCATAATAAAAGATCTATATTGCTTTACTACATCCTGTAGATTTGTCCCTTTGAACAGAAATCAGTTATTTAATTACTGAAACTCACTCTTAATCATCAAACCACAATTAACTACATGCTACTAAATTGTTTTTTATTGTTTTATTTTAAAAATAGCCAGCTGGTTCAGAAATTCGAAGTACTTTTAATTATGAAATTCCTTTTTTTGGGTCTTATTTTATCAGAAGTTTTGGGTCTTTCTTTATCCTTTTAATATAGGATTTGGGTGAATAATTCTAAGTTTCAGGGTCTCGTTGTATAAAGAGTTTGTTTAAATTTCACTTTCTTCTTGTAATGGAGACATTGAAACTTGATTTTCTGGGCTTCTGTAAAAGGCGGTGAGGAAGAGTGAGAGAGAGAATATTACAGCCTAGCCTTTTTTGAGTCATTCATAACAGTCGGCTAAACACTGAAACTGGCAGAGGAGATCATGTTGGCAAGGTCATGTGGAGTCCATGGTCAGTTTGATTAGGAGGAATGAGTGACTTTGAATCTGTATGGCCTAGATTTGAATTAGGGAAGCCATTGGCATTGGTACATATTGTACATGTGAAATAATAGTGATACACTGCTTCTATGATTATATAGAAATTGTGGTGGGAATTGTAGCAAGTCCATTTGTGACTTCAGCCTTGGAACTTTCTTACAGGAAGATTGTATTTCTTGACAAATCTAGTGAAAGCTTCTTTCTTGATTTGAAGGTCTTGTTTTCTAGCAGCTAGAGAAAATTAGGAAGTGAAAAAGGAGAAATTAAGACAAATTTAAAAGGCTGTGAGGTATTTTTCATAATCTTGAAAATATTGTATTCATTTTGTTAATGTAGTAAAAGTTGAAACTGAAGCTTATTTCCTTAGTGAAACCTTTTCCCTCTCAAGAAGGGAGAAAATTTGTGTTGCATATTTAGGCTGCAGTCCTGTAATAAATTATGTGTGTGCTTGAAGTTAAGGATGTGAGTAAACATTTGCAGACCCGGGGTCTTGTTAGCGTAGTTTGTCTGAGTTATAGAAAAAAATGGATAAAAATCTCTGATTTTTGCCAACATTTTTGTTGACTCTTGTGATTTTAAAAAAACACCCCCAAACTATCACGGCAACTGTGGCAGTTGGTGGTGATGTTGTTGTAATTTACGTAGCAACTGATTGTGATACCATGCCAAATTGACATAAGTTTTGGAATTTGGAAAAGAAGCAGGTAAAGATCATGTCTTCATTGAAACATCCCTAATAATAAACACTGGTGCATCAGAATGGCAGAAGATTGGATATGAGCAGAATTGTCTTGAAGTTGACTGTTTTTCCATGTTTCTGGTGTGTTGGATTTTTTCCTCGTGACTACTGTACTTTATTGTTGTAGAATATGATGATTCATATTCAAAAGTTAGATAGTTGGTGGGGCTTCTGTTTGGGGACCCAAGACAGTATCTGGCCTGAATCACGGGAAGTCTTATTAGGCATCGAAGAAACTTTTTAGTGAAGGGAGAGCCTGTAACAGAAGGGATTGGCTCTGTTTTAACCAACGGAGAAACAGACTGCTGGCATAGAAAACTTGTAATGTTTTGGGGGAAGTCACTAATAAGTGGGGGAGCCTAATAAGATTTCCTGTGATTCAGGCCAGGATACTGTCTTGGGTCCCCAAACAGAAGCCCCACCAACTATCTAATTTTTGAATATGTATTACTTTAGGAAAGGTTAAGAGCAGCAATCATTACTTGTTTAGGGGCATAGTCTCTTCCCTTTTTGTGGTCCCTGTGAGAAGAGAGCAGAAAATACCCTTAGGTCCCCCCAGCTGAGGATTCCTCTGGCAGAGAGACGTCCCAAGTGAATATAGAGCTGGCAAAGACAACTCTTTCCCTGCATCCTGTGGTGCATTGGTTGCGGAACTAACTGGCATGAGTTGTACACTGGCTTTCCCCAGCTCTTGTAAACTGTTCTAACCTGGCCTAAGAGAGGGAATCGCATGGTTCTGTACCTATTCTCTTCCCTTCTGATGGCTGTATGTGGGAGGGAGCCATCCTTTCTATGGATTGCTCTGTGTTCAGGCATAGCCAGTCGAGTACTACCTTGCTGTTCCTGGGGTGCTTGCAGTCTGGCAGGTAAGCAGGCAGTAAACCCAGCCAGAACTTCTCACCTTCCCTGGTGATGCAAGCAGGTGGTGAGTGGGAGATCTGAGCAGCTTCACCAGGGAATGGAGAGCATCTGCTTAGAGCTCTCCTGGCTCTCACTGTTGTGGCTGCTGGGGAAGCTAAGCTCTTTTACATTCTATCCATAATGACTGGACTAAACACTTACATTCAAAAATGGCAGGTCACGGCTCAGGGAAAATATTAAAAATTCATAGTTAACTATACATTTTCTTAACACAATTGAAGCCTCAAGAGCCATGGATGGGACACTACTGTATTTATTGGTGTGAGAAGCTTAACAAAAATAGGTGAACTAGAATGTTTGAAAATGGAAGAGGATCTTGATATTATAGGCACTTCTGAAACATGGTAGAATGCCAACATCCTGGGGGTACTTGTGTATAAACTATATAAGACTGACAGATTGAGTCAAAGAGCTGGGAGAGTAGTACTATAAAAGATTCCATAGAATTTTCTAAGATGAAATTTCTGAGTGAAGAGGAGTTGGAGGGATACAAATTCCAAGTCATAAGAATACAAATATACTCACAGAGTTTCTCTACCAGTCTCTAAATCGGGAATTTGAAAGATTGTACAATGCTGAGAGCTCTCAGAACGAATACAACTGAATTAATGAGTGACTGCAACTATCTGTATAAACTAGTCAAATGTTGGGACACATTTTAAAAAACAGTTTGTGCTTATCTTACCCTTAACAGGGGTCTCCTACTTATTCTGTGGAGAGGGCAGAGTTCTGTATTTGATTATGGTCTGTGGGCTAGGTTACAAATGTAAGACAACATGCTACCCTTCTCTCCGTGGTGAATCTTTCTTTGATATCAGTAGGTTTATACAAAGATCAAGGACAGTATATGGCCTGTAGGGGATAACTAAACTTCTAGTTATTATTATTATTACTATTTAAATGCCTTGTTTTTTTTAATATCACTTAATGGGAAAAGATGCAATCTTTTATGACCACCACTATTTCTAAGCCTCTTGTTTCTCTTTCTTCCTTATTGCCCCTCCCCTGTCTTTGTGTGTCCTCCTTTCTTCCCTCTGCAGTTTCCCCCGCCATAGGCTTCTCTCTTCTCTCTTCCATTTGACCTGCTAAAATAATCAGCAATGAAATAGTTAATGTTGACATAACATGTTGTCATAAGGCTTTAGAATTAACACCTTAGTGAGAGATGGAAGTTGACACACACAGCAATTGTTTCAGGCATTGTCTGTTTGCAGACTCTGGAAGACATCACTGTATTGGTTACACTCACTCCACAGTTGAAGATGATCTTTCAAAACCATGGATAGAACCGAAACTAAAAACAAACCCCCAAACAGATTTTTTAGAATTTGAGTTTGTCATGCATGCATGGTGGTTAGGGACTATTTAGAAAAGCTGGACGTGCACAAGTCCATGGGGCCGGACGAGTTGCATCCGAGAGTGCTGAAGGAATTGGCGGCTGTGATTGCAGAGCCATTGGCCA